CATTTTAGCAACGTTTTTCTTTGTGAGCATTTTTTTCTTCTCCCTGTTCATTACATCTTTTTTTTTTTTTTGCCTTTTTTTTCTGCCTTCATTTATTTTCTCTGTTTTTGGCTGTATTATTTATTCACTTTATGATGGTGTTACTTTTGCCCTGTGTGTCTGCCCAAATATCTCTTCTTCACTCTTCAGTGCCTCTTTGCTCTCCCCACAGGTGCCCAAAGGCCTGAAATGCAGTAGGAGAAGACTGCTGCTGGATGGCTGTGGAGAAGGAGACACTGTGGTCAGGCCAAGCACGTCACAACAGAGGTTACTCAATTCACAGCAAGCATCCATGAGCAGGAGACGTGGAAGAGGGCAATCGTGAGCATCTCACCTCCTGGGTGCAGACTGTAGGAGTCTTGGGTGTGTGGAGGCTCACTTCTTACTGCTGGCTTCACCACAAAGCCCTTTCCTTTTATTCTCAGTTCATCCAAAGCTTACAGAAAGAAAAACAACATAATTTTTGCAGTAGCATTTAAATGCAAGAAATAAGTGAGTAGAGGTTTAAATAATATTTCAATTAGTTGCAAAAACGTGCTCTCCGTGTACTTACAAGGGCTTTCGCACCAGCTCAATTTAATTTCCACAACATGTTTTGATCCAGCAACTTAACTGTTTGCAGGACTTTGCTCTCCTGAAATCTCACGGGACTGTTTCATGGAAGAAACATGCCAGAATTTTCCTATCCAGCAGGCAATGAGCTATGTTTTAGAGGAAAATTTGTTCTGTGACTGCAACATTCAATAGTTATGTTTTATATGCCTGCTAACACCATCACCTATTCAGATCAGAGGCTTTAGAATCACATCTTTTGCACCATCTTCACACTGAATGAATAAAGCCAAGACAAGCAAATGTAGGTCAAGGTGAGTTTATTGTCCATACAGCATACCTAATCCCGCCAAAACACTTTTCTTAGAACCATCTTTAAGCTAGTCAAAACAACAGGTTATTAATAAAAATGACAACACTGAACAAAGAAGACCTTTTAAAAGGTAATCAAGACTACACTGTATCAGAGTCTTACCCATCGAAAACAATCTCGCATACTTTCTAAATACTTTTGTTTACACTGATCATGTCTACTACACTTTCTAGCATCCCCTGACCATATAAACATCCACACCTCTTAAAGAGCACATTGTGAGAGAATAACGTTGACTTGATATGGCATCACACTCGATAAAGCAAAAAAAAAAAAAAAAAAAAAAAAAAGAATTTTGAGAACAGAAACTGTGCAACTGAGAGTGATTTCTGAGGTACATGAGAACATGGTAATAAACATAGTGGAAAAAATCCAGTGGCCAGGTGGTTTGCTTGGTAATTAAGAGCTGCCCAATTATTCAAGCATAAATCATAGACATGGAAATGGGATTAATAGTATTTTTCTCTTTCATGAGCATGTTGAGAATATAAATAAATTGATTATGAGGTGCTCCTACACTACAGTAATGGGAGAGAGGGGAAGATAATCAAAGTACCATCAATAGGGAGCTGAGAGAGAAACACTTTTAGCAATTGTGCCAGTCCTTTGGCACTTGTGAAGGTATAATCAGCAATGTATTTTTTTGAATGAATCAATAGAAAGGTTTATGATTTCTGCAATTCAGGGAAAAAAATCTCACACCTCACTTGCAATAACAGAATTTTTAAAAACATCTGTTAAAAAAGGAGCACTACGCAGTATTTTTGTTTTGAATGCTACTGTTAAAATGCTCAAGTTTTCCAGACTTCAAATACAGTACACTTCTGGGTGTAACCTGACGGTTAGTATTTTTTGAGTACGAGTATGACACCGCAGCCAAGGACACTCCTACCCCTGGTGCTGAACCAGGCACACTGGCCAGGTCCCTGCGAGGGACTGGCGATGCTTCACAGCACTGCCGCCCCTTCCAGCACAACCTGCCCCTCTGGCTGCCGCGCGAGGAGCCGAGTTCGGTGGCGGACCTCACCCCTCTTCCCGCCAGCACTGCGGAGCCCTGGGGGGGCAATGCTGCAGGAGGGGATCCCTGCATGGGACCAGGGCACTGCGGGAGGTGGGACGAAGCGCAGGGGCAGGCACCCTACATATTATTCCTGCCTACACTCGACCTATGGCACGGAGGGGAGCACACCAAGCAAACACAATGGACACAGTGCCTGTGCTCACTGCAGGCAGCTGCACCACAACCCAGCATGTGGAGAGGGCATCCCACTGTCTGGGGACCCTCTGGGACCTCCTCTCCTCCCCGGTGAAGCCACGTTCGCTAATGTAGGGCTGTCAGGGAATGATCTGATCTCTCATATAGATGCTGCATGCAGCTCTGGAGTCGTGCTTCCACAAAATTAACTATTTTTTCCTCCAGGAGAGACATTGTCACTGAACTTCAGGTGCTCCCAACATGGAACATCAATGTGGGAGCTCACGGCGGTAAGAACACAGCTGTCCCCACCACCAGTTTTTTGGGAACACCGCCACTCTGGACCTGCTCCCGTGAAGCCGCTGGCGAGAGTCAATGCATTTTTTCCACTATGGAAAGGATACCGAAGACCAAAAGGGAGCTTCACCCCGGCTGCCTGCAACCTCTCCCCAGCGTGGCCAGAGCGCAGGCCCCGGGGCAAAACCGAACTGTCATGTTGTGAGGTATTGTGAAAATGGGAAACATTTCTGTTTTGTCCAGTAAACCTGAGGTAAGTATACCGTCTTTGCAGAATGTGATCAGAAAGGAAGGAAAAAAAAAAAAAAAGGGAAAGGAAAAAATAAAATAAAGCAAAAAAAAAAATCATGAACACGCTATTAGGAAAAAAAAAAACAAAACCTGTACAGGGCATTTCCAGTAAATCAAAGAACTCATCATATCTCCACTTAACCATCTACTTCAGGATTTGAAATTTAAGCAGTAAAATAATATATTATAAAAATGTTTATAAAATAGCAGCACACTCAGTGAAACAATACAGCTAAGTACTGTTAATGTGAATAAGAATGAAACAAATCATAGCTTTTTAGCAGCGCAAAAAAAAAAAACAAACCAAAAAAAAAAACAAAACTGAAAAACCCCCAAAAACCAAAAAAACCCAACAAAACCTTAGAATCTTACTCCATTTGCTACCCTCATCTAGCCAAATACAGCTGAGTCCATTCATATAATATTCTTCGAAGTAGCATGTTCTTTCTGGATTTTTGTCTTAAAAATGCAAACATTAACATTTCCACCAACAGCTTCATACTGTATATTTGCAAACTGTTAATACAATTGTGCAAAAAAAAAAAAAAAAAGTTGCTCCAACTCCTTTGCCATCTAAATGCCTCTTTGTTATAGATGGAGCAGAAAAATAAATTCAAGTACACTGAATACACCTTTGTAATAAAACTCCAAGTCACACACCTTGATGTTTACCATTCGTGTCTTTTGCACCAGCAATTTCTTTCGCTGTCCATAGATAAGCATGCAGGTGGTATTAAGATCCTTCTGTGACACTGAACAATACAAATCGTCGGGCTTTTATCCGGAATGTCATGACAGGAATGTCATCTGAAGCAGGTGTTGGTATTTCCAGCAACACCGCAACTAACCAAGTACACCAGATACTGGAAAATATTGACTATAAAAAGCTATATGCTTTGCTTTTGTGACTTTTTCTTTTTTTTTTCTTTTTTTTTCTCATCAAAATTGTCATAAACCATCTCATTTAATCCCTTAGGAACAATTTTCAAAGTGCTTTTTGAATGAAATGGTTTACAAAAACACTTACTGTGTATCAATAAAGTTAATGAAATGCTGAAAAAGTGTGCGGGGGCAGTGGGGGGAGATGGGTAGGTAGAAGAGGGATCACATAAAATCTCATCTTCTTTAACACAGTGACGATATGTTAAAAAGGAAGATGGACAGAGCATCACTTAAATGCCTTTACAGCCAGGCTAAGGAGCTGCCAAAAGTTAACACTGACGTGAAGCATTACCGCTGTAAAGGAATATAATGCTTTTCACAGATGATCTACTGCTTCTTGCAATCCAAAGGTCAGAGGCAGTCAGATTAGCCAACTGGTTGGAATGAATTGTTGCATTTTCCCCATCTTACATGAACACTCGATAACTTTGGCTTGGCCCACAGTTGGGTAAACGGGATTGCCCTTATGCCAAAGATGCTGCTGTGCTTAGAATGAACCATTTCTGAAGAAAAAGTATAAAAATTCAAGAGGGGAGAGGGGAATTTGAAAAAACAACAACAACAACAACACAAACCCAAAACAACAACAACAACAACAACAACAAAAACCACCTGCTCTTCCAGCTGGCAAAATAAAGCATCTTCTTTCTTAGGTAGCAGCTACCACAGACAGCAAGAGTAAACAAAACTAACATACAGAGATCCAACAAACACTTCTGACTAATAACAGAGGTGACAGATCAGCAAATCTCTTCTGCATTCAAAATGGTTCAATTGCTTCAGGGATCTTTTCCCACTTTGCCCTAAACCCTTTATTCTATTGCTTTGCAATCTAGTCAAGCCATAAAATCGCACACACGATTCCTTTCTTAAATCTAAAAAAGGGGTGTATGCACTAGGTCATAATACACAGACGAGTATACTCTACTTTGTTCCCACAAATGCAGGCTTACATTTATCTAGCTACTTTGTATGCTTTTATAAGCATTTAATATCACTGATACATAATCAAATAGCAATTACCAAATATATTGTGGGATTCCCTTCTGTAGAACATCACAGGCACCAAATGCTTTTTTTTTTTTCATTATTCAGTTTTTGTTCTTTTTTTTTTTTAATTTTTTTGTTTTTTTTTTTTTTTTTTTTTTTTTTTTTTTTTTACCTAAAAGAGCTTTAAATATGTTCTATGTGGGTATTTTCTATGGGGGGGCAAATTTAAAAAAAAAAAAAAAAAAAAAAGATTTCACTCTAAAAATAATAACAAAAATAAAGGGGCTGGGGGAGCAAGCGTGACTTTCTGTGCCGATGTCCTCACAGGTTGATATCTCTCACATCTGTGGGAGTGCTGGCCTGGTCCAGTTCGTCCACCGTCTTAGAAGGATTGCTTTGCTGTTGCTGCTGCCGGACTTGCCTAAGGCTGTTTACTAGCACCGCTTCGATCTGTTCTTGACAAGCTTTAAGGCAGTCCTAGAGGACAGAAAGCAAATTCAACTGTTAATGGAGATGGATAGGGTTTTGTTCCTTACTGAGACAGTAGAAG